ATTATAGCTTAGTAGGCCTATAATTTCTTATTTTTTACTTTTTAACTTAGACTATATTATTATAGTAGCTTTTACCTACCTTAAGGATAATAAGTCTAAAGAGATACTCCCCTCTTATTTAGGTATATTACTTATTATAATATCTTTATTTAAGGGTAGTTATTAAGGAGGCTTTTTTTAAGAGGTAGGTAGTATCTACTTAGTTAGGTTTTTTTTTAGTGTAACTAGGTTTTTAAATAACTAAAAGTTTTATAAGTTACTATAAGATAGTTAGATATCCTCTACTTTACTATATAGTCTTAATAAGAGCAGTAAGTTAATTCTTATATCTCTAATAATCCTTTTTACTATATAAAAGGTGTTTTTAATCTAAAAAAGGTTATTAGCCTAACTAATATCTAACTAGAAGCCTTATTACTAGTTATTACTAAAGTAGTATAGTATATCTTTATTAAATTCTATAGTTATAAGGGATTATATATTATTATAAAGGCTTTAGGGTAGTTACTAAGTAACCTTATAGGTTAGGTTTTCTTAAAGCTATATATAAAATTACCTAAGGTTAGAGATTTATCTAGGTTAAAGCGTTCTTAGTATACTATATCTCTAAGCCCTTTACTCTTATTAGGGTATATATATTTCTTTACTATATAGTAGTAAAAAAAAAAACTTAATAAAAATAATAAAAATAATAAAGATAATAAGAGTAATAAAATAGTATAAATTAAGATAGTTATACTACTACTTAATATAGCCTTCCTAGTAGCTATTATAGTTCTAATAGGATAAAGCTAGGCTATAGTAGTGTTATAAAGTAATATAGTATAAAAGTAAAGCGTAACAGCAGAGTAGTAAAGTAAGATAAATAATAATAAGGAGCTAAATAAATAATATAGGATAAGATAGGTAATAGATAGTAGGTGTATTTATAGTTAACCCTCCTTCTATAAAGGGTCACCTACTAAAGGGATATATACCTAGGGCACACGTAACGTATCACGTGTGTGTCAGGTATCTAGTCCCTGCTATCTATCTGTCTCCTAACTACAGGCACTTGCCACCTTGTCCTGTGACAATTATAGCCTCTTCTAATAATCCTTACTAATCTATAGTAGTAGTAACTATAAAGTTAACTACTAATTAGTGTTAGTATTATAGGGATTATAATTAAGGTAGCTATAATAGTATTAATTAACTATTAGTAGCTAGGGTAAAGATAATAAGAAAGGAAAAGAGAAGAGGTTACTGCTGTAGGTATTTATAGTGGTGTAAGTAAGCCGCTAGGGTGAGTCACGTGATGGTAAATCACGTGACCATGGATTGGCTCCACTATTGAACAGTTGAATATCCCGACAGATATGGTGTCTTGAGAAAGCCCAGATGGTGTGCCCACCAACCTCTTCCATATTGACCCATACCACAGCATAGACTGTGACTACCCAGTGCCACTGTTCTAGTACCACTAAATCCCCAAGCTCATCGATCGCTAACTGAATGTGGAATGGGAACGGACAAGAGAGGTAGTTGGTGATACTGTGCGAAGATGTCACGCCTGGTGCCATGTCTATAGGATCGACAGTTTGGTCTGACGTCGGCGCTATGTGGGCAGTCCATTCAGCTAGAGCCACTGTTCAGTCTGCCTGAATACGCAAGGATAGAGATCGCGTTGATAGACAACGAGTCGAAAAGGAGAATCTGGATCACTACCTTCATGAGCCCTACAGAGGCTGGGATGGCGTTTGAGATTCGAAATGCTTTCAAGTCCAAGGGCTGCAGCAACAAGGATTCAGGCGACGAAGGACCTTTTCCATTTTCTCACAGGGGGCGTTCGGACAAGAAGCTTAACCTTCATTAGTTGGATAAGCCTGCATGAATTGCAAAGAAGACCTCGAAGAAAAGACCTGTATGACGGCAAGGATGATAATACGGCGTGCTTTTGCATAGCCACTAGCATCTCACATGATATACAAACTGCAACTGGCAAGTACTTTGGTACCCAAACGAACGGAGAGACCGAATTCAAAATGCAGATGTTCATTTCTACTGTTTGTGTCAGGGTCATTCGTTGTAATTATAGAGCTATGAACCTCCGATAACCGAGTGCAAATTTGTTGAGGAACGCAGGATCCGTGAAGCGAACCAACAATTATAAAGAAAATGTGACTCTTTCACTCCCATTGGAACACTTTTTTTCCGGGGACCAAGAAAGAGTTCAAGAAGAAGGGCGGTACTCTCCTTCGTGGCTATAGCAGCTAAGGGCGCCGTTCTTGCTGACCCATATTCCATAGGCTGAAGGTCGCAAGTTAAACAAAAGCGAGAGACATACAAGATGGGTTGCTTACAAAGATTTATCCAAGTCCATTTGTGGGCCCAGAAGAAATTCCTCGTTGGACAAAAGTCGCACTGGAGGCCGATGTAGTCGTCAGGTCCGGTCTCATAGAGACGGCAGCGTGAGCACCTGAAATCGCCGCTATGTGTGGGAAGATGGTATGGTCAGAGGCAAAACGAATGCATAATATAGCAGTTTAATGGTGGGGTAATAGTGAATGAGAGTGGCGAACTAACTCGGGAGCCCATTGTAGAATCCCGTCTCTGTTGGCAACGCACTTCTTGAGGTTGAGCTTGGAGAATATATGGACACCCGCCGCGTTCTTGCAACTAGCCTCCATCATGAATCCCTTTTCCCTGGCGGACTCGATGCTATAGTTGAAGTCAGTGCAAAGCCTTTGTATGCAGTCCGACTCAAGTGGGCATTGTCGATCCGCAATGGCCAGGGCCGCGAACAGCGAGGTGGGTATGGCGGAAAAGATGGCGATAGGTTTCATGTTGACAGTGGAGTTGACAGTTTGAGAAGGAGAAGATAAGATATAAGACAACGTGCTCTACACAGGGAGAATAATCAAGGCATTTTAGAGATGGCATTCACTGGTTTGGAGTTGAAGAAAAGTCAAAACGCCTGTGCTCCTTATTGTTAGGTGAGAAGGGTACAGAGCGAGATGAAGGAACAGTCAACAAGTATGCCTTATGATGTCAACGACATGCCCTTGCATTTCAGTGAAGACTTGAGCCCTTGGCAACACCACATAATGTCCACCACGTTCCCCATGACAAGTCGAAATGTATGGAATACTTTTCGAGTAAAGATGAAACGATTGCTGGAATTAAAACAATGATGGCTCGGCCTAAATCTTGAGCCGAGCCATTGAGTTTCTTCAATTAATGCGGGATGATGAATCAGAAGTGTTAGAAAACAATGTGACGCAAGGAGCTGGCACATCTTTGATGTCTATTAATAGCCGTCATAACAGCATCCAGTTCCTATATCATCATTATTTCAATCAACGAAATAAAACCTACATGTTTGCTTGCCAAGCATGAACCTCGTCAATTTGCTTACAAGACCCATTGATAGAGCATGAAAGCACCAACCCAAATGCTCAAGAACAAGGAGTTACCAGAAACCGCCCTGTGTTTGTGTTTGCGTTACCATTTGTTTGTTTTCTGATCAATGTCGGCGGGAAGATAAAAGAATGATGAATGTCAGCAGGACATCTATTTCAATACCAAGCTTCGCCAAGTAATCCCCTGCTAACCTAAATGCGGTGACTTCGCAAACCAACATGGCCATCCAAAAGACGAGATGAATCTATCAGGACAATTGCTCACACTCATGCTCCAAGCTGCGTGTCCCTTGATAGGAGAAACTCATGTGCCAGCGTTTGACGGTCTCTCTCACAGTCCACAAAAAGCCTTCAATGTTTTTGTGCATGACGGGGTTGCCTGATGAATTTGTCCCAATTCTCGGGGGACAGGCTGATCCGGTGTACTGCTCAGGAGACCATGGAAGGTTGCGGTCACAGTCGTCGTGAGAAATCCCTGGGCAAATCGATTCCACTCGAAATAAAAACAAGCTTGAGTGCGCTAGTAACTGAGTAAAGTTTGGACAGATCGGACTGGCTAATCGGACTGTGTGGAGTAGGGGACTCTGCTGAATCTTGTGCATGAACACAGTAAGAGCGGATTGGTACTCTTCAGATAAGTAAGATGGGTCTCCGGTACTTGGACAGACTGTTAGCTTTTCCAGAGAAGGGGCGTATCGAACAAGCTGCTCCGCCAGTTCCTCTCCAGGACCTGAGCCACAGAAGAAGTGAAGGTACAAATGTTTGATGTTTCTCAGCGCGGGTATGTGTGACGCGCTCATCTGAGCTTCGGTGAAAGAACGCAGGTCAGACGGTGTTGCGGGTAGGCTACTGGCCCAAATTTGCAGCCCAAGCCAAAACCTGAAATGGTTTCGATTATACAAGAGGCACAGCGCCTCTTCTCTGACTTGAATGCTAACCGAAGTCAGGGCTGATTCTGGGTAGGCCCTGGCCCACGGCAAATTGGACAGCGGCTCGCATGCATCCAGTTCACTCTCTGTAGGGATTAAATCGGATAACTCGTAAATCCTGTCTCGCAACTCGCGAGGAAGCTCTAGGAACTTTGGGAAGTAATGCGGCTGTATTCCTCTGTTGGCCATCATATCGTTCCGCATACTGAGGCAAACGGCAAATTCTCGGGCTGGTAGATATATTCTGTGCTGCTGAAATGGAGAGTTTCGAGTGAAACTGTAGAGCTTAAATATTCGATATTTCAGTCCCGAAGTGAATCCCAATCTTTAAAATTGGAATTATAGTTCATTACCATTCCTTTCAATTTTCTTCGTCGCTGTATAATAACAGGATTGTTCTGTAACAAGACTAAGAACCACAATAATGAAGCAAAGGTTACGGAACAAGGCATTGTGCTTCTTCACTGTTCCATGGGGAATGAGTTCCGTGATGGTACTAAGTAGGATTGACAAAGTCAAGGACCATGAGCTATGATGGCAAACAGCGCGGTTTTCTAATAACACCAGTCAAGCTGACCAAACTGCAGCCATACGCCCAAATTTGGATGAAAGATTTGTTAAGCGGTGAATGAACGTGTATCAGAATGTTTTCCTTTGAGGAGATTTCACCCTATGCTTCGGGCTCGAGCTGGGATACCACTTTTGACCGAGTAACAGACTTAGAATTTGTCTCCTTGTCGTTGGCGTCGAAATCTCTGACAACCAGCCAGGCCGGATAGATGGACACGAACCAAAGCCCAAAGTTGATGTATGGCCCTCCAACAAGCGCAAATATGGGAATGGCATTGAGTCCGTAGCTGACAGCCTGCCAGGCAGATTCTGTACCACGGAGAAGGGCAGCAAGTCGAATAGTTTCTTGCGAACTCTCTGAAATTTGCCCAATCATGAAGAATGCGAAATTGTAGTTGAGCTGAAATCCAGAAACCAAGAAGATGAAGACTCCGAATCCTCTTGCGAAACCCGGGTCGTCCCAGTCAAATGTGGGTTGCGTCCGGCGGTATTCGGTAACATTGATGGTAAGCCAGAGCCACCATGCTCCCTGCAGAGTCATGATCACAGCAAATGCCCACCGAGCTCTCTTCTTGAGAGCGATTCCATTCTGGTCGAGCCACAAGCCAAGAAGATTACCAGCCACAATGGCCACGATGCCTGAAAGAAACGAGCCCAGGGCTCTGGCTCTGACGGAAAACCAAAGTGCAATGTAAGTGAAGAATATGGATTCCGAGTAGACACCCTGACCGATCCAGAGAACAAGGAGCAGAAACTTGGGTGTCAAAAACGCGCTTGTCGTGGCTCTGATCTCTTGCCAAGGATTGTCAGCAATTGTAAGCTTCACCGCCTTGCCATCGCTCCGCTGAACCTTGTGAGGCCTATTCAGCAGCAATGCCACGAATGGACCACAAGATTGCAGGGCAATGAAAATCAGGTAGACTTTGTAAGAGACCTTCCCAGCCCCATTACGATCAGAATTCAGGCCAAGGTTGATTGCACCACCAAGGATCTGGCCGAATCTTGTCCAAGTGAGCCAATAAGCAATCATTCGTCCTCTGTTACGTGGCTCAGGATATGCAATAGCAATGGCAGCTTCAGAACCCCAGAAGATGCCAGCTGATACGCCACAGAAAGCAGCACCGAGGATGACAAGCCACTCGACACCATACCGATTATTTAGGTAAAGGCCGGCACTGTATGGGGCGAAACCAATTGTTCCAACAACAAGGGCACCTTTGATACCGATGTATTTGACAATTGACGAAGTTAGCCAGCATGAAACTATCATGAGACAGAATGTAAGGGCGTTGCCCGTGTTTACAAGATATGGCTCTTGTGCACCGCCTGAAAGCCGTCAGTCTACGTGTTGCGAGGCCATTTATAGTGATTTACTTACCGGCTCCGAGTGAATTCATCGCACCCCAAAGACCAGGTGCGGCGAAGCTGCAGATGCCAAGGATCGTGGCATTGTAGAATGGTGAGCGGTACCACTTTACTGCTACTTGTAAGCATTTGAAGATGAGATATGCGCATGGCTGTATGTCTTACCAACAACTCTTTCTGGCTGAAAAGTGGAGTGTGCGACCTCCGACGTGCTACTCGGCTTGTCGGCCATCTTGAGCAGAATCTAGATTTTGACGATTTTATTTTTCGAGCAAAAGGCCTTTTGATAGCTAACTCGTTGGCTCGGAGTGATTCCAAATAAGATACCTGCAAGGATGTGAAGCTACAAAGATTCTGGGTTCTTCGTGCAGAAGTTCCTGTGCCGCATTTATGAGCTAAAGAACCCCCATGCCGAGGTTGGGTATCAGGTTACATCGCTCTCGAAGCACGTCATTGAGGCCCTGGTGAGATGCATCATCCTCTCCTGCCTTGTCGCACAAACGGTCCTCGGGGATTGGTCCATGGACTCGATATCAGAAGTAAGTTACTGACCACCTCCGTTGGTAACCCAAGATAAGAGGCGGCCAGTGCCAGAGAAAAAAATACAGATATGGATAAGGGTTGAAGAGCGCTTGACAAATAACTTCGATGAGCTTATCTTGGTATACATGGCGTGCTTAGTTGACATATGATGATGCACTTATTAGTCAGCATTATTATTCGGGAAGGAAAAGACGAACTGAGGGCAAACGATTGAGCTTTCTGAGTTGCTTTGGAGCAAAGGGGCTTTGTGATGAACCGCAGCGTCTGGTCATTTGAGAGTAAAGTACTAGTTGTCTTATCAAGAATCTACGTATGAACCGGAGAAGTGGTAGAAATACCCTTTTCACATGGTCTGTGCGGTTGGTACGCTACATTCGTGGCGGTGTCCACTGGTATTAGCCACACGAAGCTATTCCAGCTTCACGACACAGGTATTGATTGACCCACGAAAATTTCGATATCGCACCCAGAAACTTGGGTCCCGGACATTGATAAACACGAGAGAATTGCTCTTCACTCTGAGTTTGAGGTAGTACCGGAAGCCGGAACCGGGCAAAGAGGGTAGGGATGGGGTCATGGATGGCAATGACCACCAGACTCGGCCTGAAATGCTCCCTTCAACGGGATGTGAATAAACCGTATATTTTGATTGCGCTTCAAGTGGTGACGGAAAAACGTAGCCTATCTTGAATCTTACGATTCTGGGAATAATGGTGGCCTAAATTGGGGAATGAGAGTGCTGGACCCACACACCTGGCGGTCCTGGCCCACCATCACTGTTACCGGCAACCTCTCGGGTCCTCCTTAAGTCTAGCTCCTCATGTGCTGATCTTACCAAAAATGCAATTATAACCATCTCCAAAACACTTGAGGATGCTCGTTGGTGGATAATGCGGAGAGCTAAGGTGTCCTTGACGAATGCCCATGGGGATCACTGATCAACACTTGCCATATCTAGACTACAATAAGATTTCCCGCACAGTCCCCTCAAGAATAAAGGCGATAATAGGGGAAAATCTCGAACTCGACCGATTCACATTAGCTGAAGATAAGTCTGCCGACTGTTCGCAAAACATACGCCAGTGTTGACGGGTACAAAGAACGAATCGGCGGTCCAGCATCGTGGCAGGGTGTATTCCGAACACCTTAAAAATGAGAATGTTGCCGCCCTGCCAGAATCCGATTCGACGATAAGTATAGGTTCCACAATCTGTGAGAGAACAGACGAGTATGGGGATTCTGTCAGTTCATCCGCTAGTATCAAATTGTACATCGCGAAGTCAATGGTATTCAACGCCCGATGCCGTCTATGCCTCTTTTTGATATACCTATTGCCGATCAACGTTGGCTAAGAAACCATCGTCGAACTAATCATACAAAAACGATATCCCACGGAGAATTCAGCTCATAACTCAGCATATCCCTCCGGACTTACTCCTTTGTGATCTGGCTTTCTTGCCAGAGTCCCCTAGTTGGCTGGCCTCACTAACAGTTGTGTACAGGTACTCCTTGCATTTGGCCGGTATAAGAAAAAACCCCGCTTGCTATCGGACAGCCAGCGTATGCGATCCAGTTCGTCGGAAGCATGGCTTCTTGGCCACTCGTTGACTGATATGGAAGGCGACCCTTGATCGTCGGCGGTGTCTTCTCGATGACAGTTCTTCTGCTACTCATTGGTGGTATCAGCACCATGGGTAACCCGGCATTTCTGTCGGCGACTGTCACTTTCATGGCCATTTGGGGCTTTAGGTATCAAGCAACATTGGATGATGTTGCGTACTATGTTGGAAGTGGAACTACTAGGCGAGTCACAACACTTTGTTGAAGTCATTATTCGTTTAATTGTTGGATGAGAAGCTCCTGCCCCCCGGGAGTTGTGGGCCCCGGAATCACCGAACGTGTACCGGTAGATGAGAAGTGTCGCATAGCAGGGGCATGCCTTGCTGACTGGATGGGAAAACTGAGTGTTCAACTTACCGCATCGGTATAATGTGCTAAACGGCCGCATCCTGCCTGGTATTGCACATGCTACCATACCTACTCAACACGGACTAGGCCAATTTGGGAGGCAAGATTTGCTTCATTTTCTTTGGCTCGTCATCGCCCAGCTGTACCTGGCTGTACTTATACTTCCTCGAAATGAAGGGTCACCGCTTTGCAGAGATCCAGGAAAATTTTCCGCAACCGCGCTCCGGCCGGAAAGTTCAAATCATATGCCTATGAGATTAGAGCCGGGGAGCATGATGAAAAGACTCTACGAAATCACGAAAAGGAGATGGAGAAGGAGGAGGAACAGGAATAAAGGGTCAAACTGTGGATATCGAGGGGTCCAATCGAGGGTGACAAGTTAGCCCAAAGCCTGACCATAGGGCTTATCAAGAAGCTTAGATGAAGTACACAAGCAGGGGAGTGCACCGCAGTTGACAACCATTGGTGGCCTGGGTTTTATTTTATCTTCTTTTTATTTTTCCCACACTTGGGTACGCTGTCAAAACCTGACCGAAATGACAGGGACCAATGCATGGGGGAATGGTTAGCGACGTTTGGGATAAAGCAGAAGACCCTGTGAGCCGGACTCATAATCGGAAATTAGGCTTGATCCTGACGGGCCCCATGCCACATTTCACAGAGTGCATCCACATTGCTGTGTCTTTTAAAGATCCCGCTCTCCACGATGTCCTCCGGACCCCGGTGTTTGGGGGCAGAAACCACATTACATTCTTTTGCACAGCCTTAGTTGACTGCTGATCCCACCGATCGAGAACACCTTCAACGTTACAATCTTTTACAAACACAACATCAACCATGCTATCTGAACGCATCTACCTCCTTGGGGCCAGTCTGCTGGCTACATGCCTCCAACTTGTGAGCGCCCAGTTACCTGCAGACGCCATAGAGCTTGATCTCGTCTTCCCTCGTAAAGATGGAAAGTACGGCGAAACCAGCAACGGCTACCCTGTCCTTCTGAATGTCCAGAACCCCAATGTCGCCTACAAGTATGGCTACAACTTCGTATGGGATATTTACTCCAGGAACAAGAATTCGTATCTACGTACCGCAGCCCACGGCGTGATGGGCGCCTCCATCGGCAACGCAAGCACATTTGGCAATGGCCCGTTTCTAGAGGTTGGAAAGACTGGCCATCTCGCTGCTGGCGACTACACCTTTGCCTGGGTCTTTGGCATGGGTGCTCAATGCGAGTTCACCGAGCAGCCCGATTACAGCGAGTACAACCTCAACCCTCGCATCGCCAACGGCAGCTTCGATTTCGTTGTCGAGAGTAGCGGAAAGGAGCCGACTTTCACCAAAACCTGCCCGACAGCTATCGGAAGCATGAGCTATGCCTCCACAACCACCTACAACTCTGAGGCCACCAGCGTTTGCGGTGTGACCGCATCCGTCACGCACGATTCTCAGCCCTGCTCAGCAACCGTCAGCGATGACCAAGCGACCAGCGTTTACAGCGCGCTAGGATACGCTGCCGCCACCGGATCGTCCAAAGGAGCGGCACCCTACAGCTGCCGACAGCCTGCTTTTCACGTCGTTGTCATTACCGGTATTGTCGCAGCGGTGGCAATTTTTGCTTAAGGGTACGAGATGATCGTATCATCGATGCAAGGGAAAGTAAGGAGAGGAACGCTCCAATGACTTGACGAAGAGTGGCCAGCTGAAGGCAACGGGTACCACAACCTGCGCGATTCGCAGCCCCATGAGCTTTTTTTTATGTTTTTTTTCGGAGGGGGCAGCGGGCTAGGAACTGCACATGAAGGCTCCAGAGACGATTTCCGATCACACGGCTTTGCGGCTTCGCTTTGTGTGCGTGCCGTGTACCGGTTACGTCTTGCCGTTGCCTGGCGTGGTTTCCTTTCCAGTGTCAAATATTCCAGCACGAGGCGAGCCAAGCTGATCTGGACCTCCGTAAAAGCAAGCCAGTGAGTAGGGTATCGTAAAGGAATGGACAATACGGATAGTGATGGATGGGATAACATTACCACTTGCCAACAGCCACACCGAGGTTAGGATGCCCAGTCAAGGTCAATCTTGTGTAAGGATTGACCGTTTGGTCCGAGAATCCGCTATCTTGCGCCTTTAGGCATGGTCGAGAGCCAATTGAGAGCATTATCGGCTTATGTTAGCACCAACCGAGTTCAATAATGCAACGTTTTGTGTCGCAATTCTCCAAAAGTCCATGGATGGTATTCACCATGCACTTAACTGTAAGCACTTTGTGCTGGCTCCAGAATCATGATAGATGGATGCCCAGGCTCAGTAACGTCGAGTCAAGGCGCTCTGTTCCCTCCCATTGGAGTAGAATATTGGAGAAAACACGGGTTAAAGTAAAGCACTTCTCTCCATCTGGATCCTGGATGTTTGAGGTTGTTAGTCTGTTTGTCGCTATTCTAGCCTAGGAGCTATTACTCGAACGACTCGGTGAGTCTTTCCGAGGAGGGCCTGGCTCAAAATTGGTATTTAAAGCCGCTCGAAAACCTGGAGGGTCAGATAAGTCCTCTCACACCAAATATTTGACTCAATGATATGGCGAGGGTAGAACTAGTGGTGACTGTAGATATGCATTATGTGCCTATAGATTTGTAAAACGCTGCGTTCATTCTTGGAGAAAGAGAGCATACCAACTCTAGCAATGACTCAGAACTGAAGCTATACGTACTCAACGTTGGTCATCTGCTAAAGTCTACTAGACTACGAGTTCAAGCAACACACCGCCCTTTTACCAGAGATTCACAGCCAGAAGAAACAAAGACAAGCGTTTGAATTCAGGTGCTGAACTTTTCCAGATGCCTGGCGAATCTGTGGGCGGCAATCGAGTTTATCGACTCCGCGGAGGCGGAAGAAACTCGGACGGTGATTCAGAGGCAGCTTTATCCACGTCTCGACAAAAGAAATTATAGTCCACTTCTGTCAACATCTGGCCATTCGTATCATCCTCACTTTCTTTCTGGTTAGTGCCCTCGTTATGGAAATATCGGTTTATGCTTTCATGAGTAAAGACACGACCCATCTGGGCAAGGTTCGTCCATGCATCCAAGTTTAATTAACATAAAGGTGGCGGTATCAATAGAATGACACATGTCGCCTGAGACAAGTAAGCCCAATTGGATCGCTAGCAGAAGTCCTTTTTGGCAGCCGAGTTAGTCAAAAGAACACTGAGGGCACTATGAGCATCAAAAGCACCATATACTTCTGTTCCTCACGACGAAACCTAGTCCATTCAGAGCAATCGATGGGTAGTCGAGCAATATTTTTAGCAGCAAGCCAATGCAGCTTTTTTTTCAGCCAATCATATTTTAACCTTCAGAGACATTCCGCCCTTTTGAGTTAAAACCCTTAGTGATGTTTGTAAAATCATCAGACGAAACACCCCTTCCCGTTACGCTGATCAATGTTTCAGGGTGTTTCACTTGTCTGCATATTCTAAGATCTTACATAAAGGGTGGAGAGTAATTTGGATGTCAACGTTGGCGTTGAGTTCCATATGAAGTAGTCAATCGATCTTGCTACTACCTGCACCACAAGAAGACACCGCACACAGTTCGAGTAAACTTTATTGCGGATATGCATTCGCGACTTGGCTTCAGATCGTGCTACGGTGGTTTTTCTGAGCTACTTTAGATAAGCGCATCGCAATGTTTCTCGTGAGTCAGTTACTATTAAGTCAAGGAAACCTTTGCCTAACGGACGAAAGCCCATAATTCTTGGTTAACTCCCCCACCCCACATCCGAGACACCCCCACTTCCGAGACATCCGAAAATCCCGCATTTCTCCTCCTTCATCAACATCACCACCTTTTTCAAACTATTATAACATTTCACATATATAACCAAACAACGCCATTTTTTCAAGATACCTTTTTTAACTTATTATAAAGTAATATACTAAAGATAAGCTTTATTAGGCCCTTCTAGATATATAAAATAAGTATAGTATCTAGGCTGCTACTTCTAAATAGGGTATACTATACTAGTTACTTTATTATTAATACTATAAGTAGTAAAGTAGGGATACTGCCTTTACCTATATGTAACACTTATCTTAGGCCTAAGAGGATAATCTAGCTGCCTATATATCCCTCTAAGCTTCCCTTAGTAGGTAGATTACCTATTAATAAGTAAAGGGCCTAGTAAAGCGTATAATAGGTAATAGGTATCCTCCTATAGGGAGGAAATAGATAGCCTAATTTATATAGCAAAATCTATCTATTAGAACCCTCTAATCTAGAGTAATTAATACCTAGTAATAGGTAGCTTATTCCCTTAAGGTTATTTAGGATTTCTTTTATTACCTTAGTAGTATTCCTACTATCTAAGGTATCTATCTATCTAATAAATAGAATATAAATAAGACTAGTATTATAAAAGGTAAGGGAGTTAATAGGCTAGTGTTAGGCTTTATAATATTATAATATATCTAAAAAAAGCAGCTAGGATCCTAGGTATAGGTATTTATTATTAAGTGTATATCTACTACTAAAAGCTTCTTACCCCCCTTACTTATATATAAAGGTAAGTTACTTTAGGTCTAGTAGTTTATATCTAACCTATCTATCTTATTTAGATATAAGGCTTAGTAATTTATAGTAATAAATAATAGCTAGATAACTAATAATACTACCCTTAAATAGCTAGTGTTATAGGACAAAGTAGTAAGTGCCTGTAGTTAGAAGACAGATAAATAGTAAGGACTAGATACCTAATATATATATAATATATTATATGTACTCTAGGTATATATCCCTTTAGTAAGTAACCTTTTATAGAAGGAAGGTTAACTATAAATACACTTACTATCTATTACCTATCTTATCTTATATTATTTATTTAGCTCCTTATTATTATTTATCTTACTTTACTACTCTACTATTACGCTTTACTTTTATACTATATTACTTTATAATATTACTATAGCCTAGCTTTATTTTATTAGAACTATAATAGCTACTAAGAAGGCTATATTAAGTAGTAGTATAACTATCTTAATTTATACTATTTTATTACTTTTACTATTTTTATTATTTTTATTAAGTTTTTTTTTTCTTTTTACTACTATATAGTAAAGAAATATATACACCTTAATAAAAGTAAAAGGCTTAAAGATATAGTATACTAAGAACGCTTTAACCTAAATAAATCTTTAAACTTAGGTAATTTTATATATAGCTTTAGGAAAACCTAACTTATAAAATTACTTAGTAGCTACCTTAAAGCCTTTATAATAATATATAATCCCTTATAACTATAGAATTTAATAAGGATATACTATACTACTTTAGTAATAACTAGTAATAAGGCTTTTAGTTAGATATTAGCTAGGCTAATAACCCTTTTTAGATTAAAAGCACCCTTTATATAGTAAAAAGAATTATTAAAGATATAAGAATTAACTTACTACTTTTATTAAGACTATATAGTAAAGTAGAGGATATCTAACTATTTTATAGTAACTTATAAAGCTTTTAGTTATTTAAAAACCTAGTTATACTAAAAAGAAACCTAACTAAGTAAATACTACTTACCTCTTAAAAAAAGCCTCCCTAATAACTACTTCTAAATAGAAATATTATAATAAGTAATATATCTAGATAAGAGGGAAGTATCCCTCTAGACTTATTATCTTTAAAGTAAGTAGAAGCTACTATAATAATATAGTTTAAGTTAAAAAGTAAGAAATAAGAAATTATAAGCCTACTAGGCTATAATACTATCTTATTAGTAGGCCTACTTAAACTATAGTTTTTTACTATACTAAGTTAATTCTTAAATAGTATAAGTTATTATACTTAAGGCTAATAAGAATAAGATATACACCTACCTTTAAGGTAGATATAATACTTACTACCTCTAGCCTAAGGTTAAGTAAGGAATATAATTCCCTTAAGTTAGTACTTTAGTAAGGAGGCTAGCGCTATAACTATAGCTACCTAATTAGTAAAGTTAAAGTTAATAGTAAAATAATTATAAAAATACTAAGACCTAATAAGTATAGCTTAGTTATAAAATAACTTTAGCTAGTAAAGGTAGTAAAAAAGCCTATAGTTAACTATAGCTATACTACCTCTACTAGTATTAAATATAAATAAGCTTATAGTAGCTTTTTTTTATACTATAACTACTTAAATATAAGTAGTAATAGCACTAGTAACTACTATAGCTACCTTAGGTTATTTCTTAGCCTAACTATAAACACTATTTACTATAAAAATCTTTTAGCCTAATACTAATACTAAGAAGTACTTACTAAACCTTATCTTTTATAACTACCTTATAATATATTATTATAATATAAAGCTTTAGATCTAAGTAGTTAAAGTAACTTATAAAAATCCTTTATTTTTATAGCGTTTTTATTAAATAATTAACTAGTACCTCTATAAATAAGTATAAAACTAGTAAGAATTCTAACTTACTAAAGTAAAGTAAAATATCTTTAAGTAAAAAGGTTAGCTAGTAATCTTAAGGTAATTTAAGTACTATTTTAAACTAACCCCTATTAAGGTAGAAAAGTAGTTTTATAAAAATTACTTTACTACTAATAAGATTAATAAGTAGTATAATATTTATACTTTTACTTA